CCCGAGCCGAAGGCAGACGCTCAACGACTGAGCCAGCCAGGCACCCCCATAAATAAAATCTTAAAAAAAAAAAAGAGTTATAGCAGAGAACCTGACCTAGTTTAGAACAGAGAAGGCTGCCCAAGAAAGTAACATTTACGCTGAGACCTGAAGGGGCGGCAGAAAGGGAAACAGAGTGAGCAGAGTCAGGTGAACGGATCTGACAGGGGACCAGAGGCACCGGCAGGAGTTGTGAGACAGCAGCACGTGTCATCAGTCTTCAGTCCTCTGCCTGTATCACATTTGCCGATTCACCGAAGCGGTCACCTGCCAAAACCGACTCAGGGTGGACAGGCACTGCTCAGGGGCATGGGTACCAGCAGGCATGGTTCACTGCAGGCCAGTAACATGGAAGCCTGCCACAGAGCCATCCCAGAGGTGAAGAAGAAAGAGGTACAGAGGGTAACTTTTAAGTTTCGGCATGAGCACTTAGAGGAGAAATAAGATTCAGCCTTCTCCACACCCACAGGGAGCTCACCCCCAGGACAAGTCTAAGAGCTTAGCTAGAGAACCTGGCAGCATAATACTCATGTGTATGTAATACTATAATACTCTAATACCAACAATATGGTACACTTCGTGTAAAAACTGGCAGCAAGGAGGGGCACCTGGCTGGCTCACACAGTGGAGCGTGCGACTCTTGATCTCAGGGTTGTGGGTTCGAACCCCACAATATGTGTAGAGATTACTTAAAAATCTTAAAAAAAAAAATGGTAGCAAGGAAAGAGAAGCTCCTTACTTGCTGTAACAATCAACCACCAGATACCATCAGTGCTTCTTCTGTTTTCTCATTTCATCCCTTCCTCTAACTCCATCACTGTGTCCTCACCATATCTGTCCCATGTTACCACAGTAGCCTCCTGGCTGACCTCCCTATGTCTGTGCTGCCCTCTAATCTGTCCTCCACACTACTGTCTAGATTACCTTTTTAAAGGACAAATTTGGACCTCTTTTTCTTTTTTTTTTTAAAGATTTTATTTTTTTAATTTTTTTAAGATTTTATTTACTTGTGAGAGAGAGAATGAGAGACAGAGAGCATGAGAGGGAGGAGGGTCAGAGGGAGAAGCAGACTCCCCGCTGAGCAGGGATCCTGATGTGGGACTCGATCCCAGGACTCCAGGATCATGACAGCCGAAGGCAGTCGCTTAACCAACTGAGCCACCCAGGCGCCCCAGATTTTATTTATTTATTTGACAGAGAGAGCACGAGCAAGGGGAGAGGCAGGCAGAGGAAGAGGGAGAAGCAGGCTCTCCACCAAGGAGGGAGCCCAATATGGGGCTCCATCCCGGGACCCTGGGATCATGACCTGAGCTGAAGGCAGATGCTTAACAACTGAGCCACCCAGGAGCCCCAAGATTTTATTTATTTGAGAGAGAGAGGGAAAGAGGGAGAGCACAGAGGGAGAAGCAGGCTCCCCGCCGAGCAGGGAGCCCGATGCGGGGCTCGACCCCAGGACCCCGGGATCATGACCTGAGCCGAAGGCAGACACTTAACGACTGAGCTACCCAGGTGCCCCAGCTTTTCGTTTGTTTTTAAGATTCATTTCAGGGAGAGAGAGCATGAGCAGGGGGAGAGGGAGGGAGAGAGGGAGAGAGAATCTCTAGCAGACTCCATGCTGAGTGTGGAACCCTACAACGGGCTCTGTCCCACGACCCTGAGATCATGCCTGAGCTGAAATCATTAGTCAGACGCTTAACTGACTGAGCCACCCAGGTGCCCCAAGATTTTATTTGAGAGAGAGAGGGAGAGCACAGAGGAAGAAGCAGGCTCCCCGCTGAGCAGGGAGCCCGATGTGGGGCTCGATCCCAGGACCCCGGGACCATGACCCGAGCCGAAGGCAGACGCCTAACGGCTGAGCTACCCAGGTGCCCCTTCACCTGCTGTTATTACCCATGTATACCCTACATCTTTCTCACACTCCACAACTTTATTTATTTATTTAAAAATTTTTTTTAAGGTTTTATTGTTTTAAGTAATCTCTACACCCAGTGTGGGGCTTGAAAATGACCGCAAGATCAAGAGTTGCATGCTCTTCTGGCCGAGCCAGCAGGGCACCCCCACTCAACAACTTTTTAGCCTTAGCCCTGACGAGGCTTCTCTTACCTCTTTCCTTTCATGTGTTTATGTTTCCTTTTCTTGCATTGTCACTGGGCTGAAGTTTTCCTCTCGCCATCTGTGAGTTCCCTGTAACCCTACACTACCAATCCAAGGAAGGTACTCCTTTCCTGTGCTCTGTACCTGCTGCTCTAAGAGCACTCAGCATGCAGTGTGGTGCCAGTTGCTTAGCTCAGTCACCACACTGAAACTGCGGGCTTCTTGGAAGGCAAGGATTGTGTTTTCCTCTTCATCTCTGCACCCTAATTACCTGGCATAGGACCTGGCATATAGTAGCCCCTCAGTAAATCTTTGTTGATGGATGGATGGATGGATGGAGCATCCTGAGTAACTGTGTCACAGATTCAGGCATGGTCATTCTACTGTGTTGAGGATAAAACAAGAATTGACTTAAGTGGCAGATTTATGTTAAAGTTTTAAAAAGAAGAAAAAAAAGAATAGGTAAAACAGGGTCAGATTATAGAAAGTTTCAAACACTAGTTGAAGGAGTTTGATTTGCTCAGATGTGGAATACGTTTACAGTGGATGAGATGAGGGGCGCCTGGGTGGCTCAGTCGGTTAAGCGTCTGCCTTCAGCTCAGGTCATAATCCCGGGGTCCTGGGATCGAGCCCCGCGTCGGGCTCCCTGCTCCGCGGGAAGCCTGCTTCTCCCTCTCCCCTGCTTGTGCTCTCTCTCTCTCTCTCAAATAAATAAAATCCTAAAAAAATAAGTAAATAAAGTGGACAAGATGTGACGTTCGCATTTATAGGACAGTTTAGAATAGTGAAAGGCCCTGAAGGGCCGTATCTTTATTTCTCACTCCAATTTTTTTTTTTTAAGATTTTATTTATTGGCGCGCCTGGTGGCTCAGTTGGTTAAGCATCTGCCTTTGGCTCAGGCCATGATCCCAGGGTCCTGGGATCGAGCCCCACATCGGGCTCCCTGCTCAGCCAGGAGTCTGCTTCTCCCTCTGCCTCTGCCCCTCCACCCTCACTCGTGCTCCTTCTGCTTTCTCTGCTCTGTCTCTCAAATAAATAAATAAAATCTTTAAAAAAATAAAAATATTCAGTTAAAAGGATTGAAAACAGATATTCAAACAAATAGTTGTGTGTGAATATTCATAGCAGCATTATTCACAGCAGCCAAAAGTTGAAAACAACCCAAATGTCCAACAAAAGATGAATGGATAAACTAAATATGTTATATCTATACTGTGGAGTAGTAGTCATTAAAAGGAACAAAATAGGGGCACCTGGGTGGCTCAGTCGTTAAGCGTCTGCCTTCGGCTCAGGTCGTGATCCCAGGGTCCTGGGATCGAGCCCCGCAT